TTCCTGACCCACAGAAACTATGAGATAGTAAATGTGTCTTGTTATAAGCCACTAAGTTTATACTAATATTGTTACCTAGCAAATGATAATTGATTCAGGCAGACAAAACACACAATATAATTGGAGAAGAACTTCAAGACAAGAGAAAAACAAATATGAGACAGGAACGTTCAGGTAATAAAAGCTCTCTATGGGATAAAGTCTGTTTTGAAATATGTCACGAAGAGGTTAGTTATGAAACCCTCCCCCCTTAAGTCTTTCAAGAACTCAGATTGGCAGAGAGGTAGAACAGACAGCATACAGATAGAATGAATACCTTGGACAATACTACTACTACATGGAGAAGCAGTGGGAAAAGACTGAATAGGTACAAGGGTCTATCTAGATCACGGGAAGCCTGCAATGGCAGGTGTTGAGTGGGTTCCCGTATGATCTGTAGGCATCAATACTAAAGGATAGGCTCTTGGACAGAGAGATGACCATAAAAAGTGTTTTAAAGAATTTAATCCTATCACAGTATAAAGGATGGAGAAGATTAGAGATTAGAAGACCAAGAATAGATAATGCTAGCACAACAGTTATCCTGAGACCAGCAAACACGTAGAGGAAAAAGGCTCATGCTGATGAATAACCAAAAACTTGAAAATTAAAACTATAAAATACCATTTTTTGGTTAACCAAATTAGTAAAAAGTATAAACTAGTAATACTGACAAAGATAAAGCAATCTCAGACATTGTTGGTGGGAATGTAAATGGAATAGCCTTTATGGAAAGCCATATTCATCAGAAATATTTATTAATAATCTTAAAATATTCAGACCCTCAGACTTGATAACTCACTTATTAAAGAATATTTTAAGAAAATAAAATTTTTTACCCATTCAAACACATTTAATTGAGTGCCTATTACATTCCAAGTACTGATGATACAGCAGTGAATAAAAAATACCTCACTTCTGCTCTCAGGGAACTTAGAAGAGGCAAACATTTAACAAATAAGCACAAAATAAATATGTAATTACACAGTTTATAGAATACAATGAGAAAGTATGTATGTATGTATGCATGTAAACTCTATGTCCAACATGGGGCTTGAATTCACAATCCTGAGATCAAGAGTCACATGCTCTACCGACTGAGCCAACTGGGCACTTGAAGAGATAGTATTTTTAAACACTTGATTTAAATTGTGAAATCAGGAGCACCTGGGTGGCTCACTCGGTTAAGCGCCCATCTTCAGCTCAGGTCGTGACCTTGGAGTTCATGGGTTCGAGCCCCGTGTCGGGCTCTGTGCTGACAGTTCAGAGCCTAGAGCCTGCTTCAATCTGTTGTCTCCCTTTCTCTCTGCCCCTCCTCCCTCACACCCTGTCTCTCTGTCTTTCTTTCTCAAAAATAAACAATAAAAAAAAGTTTCTTTATTTTTGAAAGAGAGCACGAGCAGGGGAAGGGCAGAGAGAGGGGGTGACAGAGGATACAAAGCAGGCACTGGGCCAATAGCAGCAAACGCAACGTGGGGCTCTAACTTACGAACCGTGAGATCATGACCTGAGCTGAGGTTGGACACTAAACCGACTGAACACCCAGGTGGCCCCTGGGAAATAACATTTATATTGAGAGCTGAAGGATGAGTAGAATTTAGCCACGTGAAGAATGGGAAAATTTTTTCTTTCTGACAGAGGAAACAATACACAGGAAGGCAAGAGTTAGTTGTATTCAAGATTTTTTTTTTACAAAATTATTTATTAATTAAGTTGTTTTTAGAGGGGGTGCGGAGAGGGAAGGGGAAAGAGAGAATCTTAAACAGGCTCCATGCCCAGCAGAGAGCCCAACATGGGGTTCAATCCTACAACCCTGGGATCATGACCTGAGCCAAATCGAGTGTCAAACGCTTAACTGACTGAGCCACCCAGACACCCCTGTATTCAAGATTTTTAATCTATTCAACAAATACGTATGGAGGTAGGTCCTAGTACGTATCAGATACTAGGGACTGAAGATGAGAAACGGGAGAAAATAGTGATCCAGGTCAAGTTGAGATAGTAGCAGGTAAAACAGGTATAAAAAATTGCATAGCTATGGTAGGGCTAGTATTCATAATGAAGGCAAAGACAGATCAGGAAATGAATGAAAATAGAGGAGACTAATGCATGTGGCAGGAAAAAGATGACAACATAAAGGTAACAAACACAAAGACACTGTGCATTCTTTCAAACCCAAACAGTATAGACTTACCTAAGAAAGGTATGTTCAGAATGTATTATTCATTAAATAATATATATGCCATTTACAGGTAGAAATACTTAGATGGATCCGCACTAAATGTTTATATGCAGAGAAGAACAGATAGAGACAAAAAATAAATAAACATGTACGCATGAATTAAAGTGTAGCTATACTCGGGAAACTATCTTCCCTACAGGCTATCCATGAACGGTTCCCAACTATGCTAAGTACTCAAGGAAAAGTAATCATTTTTTTGGAATAAAAAATAGGCTTTCTTTGTGAGAGGCCAATACACACACACACACAGACACACACACACACACACACACACACACAACATGTGTCTACACACACATAAGTATACACACACATATATATACACATATATAGAAAATACAAGGATTTGAAATTAGGGGCGCCTGGGTGGCTTAGTCGGTTAATCGTCCGATTTTCGCTTAGGTCATGATCTCGCGGTTCGTGGGTTCGAGCCCCGCATCGGGCTCTGTGCTGACTGCCAGCTCAGAGCCTGGAGCCTATTTCAGAGTCTGTGTCTCCCTATCTCTCTGACCCTCCCCTGCTCGCTCTGTCTCTCTCTCTCCTAGAAATAAATAAAAATATTTAAAAAAAAAAAAAAGGATTTGAAATTAAAAATTGACCAAATGGACCTCCATAAGGTAAAGTGTAAAGGGTGACATTTACACAAACCTTATGGTGAGAATAAGCTTGGAACCATCAGCAAGTTATAAAGGAAGCCATAAACATGAGTATGACCTCATATGAGCAGTAGACCTGAGGGGAAAAGAGATCCCTTTTCCTACCTCCTCAATTATCTAAATGGTGATATTTGATGGTTGGTACATGCGAACAGTGTTAAAGAGTCAAATACAGGGCACCTGGGTGGCTCAGCTGGTTGAGTGTCTGACTTCCGCTCGGGTAATGATCTCACAGTCTGTAAGTTCAAGCCCTGTGTTGGGCTCTGTGCTGACAGCTCAGAGCCTGGAGCTTGCTTTGAATTCTGTGTCTCCTTCTCTCTACCCCTCCGCTGCTCACACTCTCTCAAAAATAAATAAATATTAAAAAAAAAAAAAGTCAAATAGTATTTGACAGCAAAAACACTACTTACAAAAAATAAATAAATAAAAAGATGTTGGAATTCTATACTATTTATGTAACTTCTATGACTCTAAAATTATTTCATAATAAAAAGAAAAAATGTATATATATATGGGCTACCTTGTTACAAGACTACAAGGCCTAAAATATGTGTTAATTTTATGAAGCAATCAAAACAAGGATAACTGAAAATCCTTCAAATTACTCTCTGTGAGTCTAATTTTTATTCTGTCAAGGGATGCAGGTGTTTATCAAGAGAAAAGCTCATGGTCTGCATTTGATATTCCACTGACCAACCAGAGTTTTGAGAAAACCATTTCTTTCTCTAAGCCTCTGCTACACCTACCTCACAGCATGGTGTATCATATGCTTGCCAACTACGACATGCTTTACAAATGTTTATTACTATTATTTAAAATTTTATTTAGGGATGCCTCAGTGGCTCAGTCAGTTAAGTGGTTAAGCGTCTGACTTGGGCTCAGGTCATGATCTTGCAGTTTGTGAATTTGAGCCCCGTGTCTGGCTCTGTGCTGACAGCTCAGAGGCTGAAGCCTCCTTCAGATTCTGTGTCTCCCTCTCTCTGCCCCTCGCATGCTCATGCTCTGTCTCTCTCTGTCTTTCAATAATAAATAAAAATGTTTAAAAATTTTTTAAATAAAATTTTATTTATTTGAGTCCATTATTCCTTCATTCAATGGGGAAATATCTTTGAGATATGGTTAACTATTTGGATTTCTTTAGGTTTGTGAAATTATCAAATTAATCTTATACTTGCCAGTAGTGGTCCTGATTTAACGAACTGATTTATCTAATAATGAATATAGTTACCACATCCTGGAAAATGTTTGTTAAGACAACTATAGTCTGAAAAATGTTTTCACTGCTTAGCCTTTTCCTATAAAGTTCATTAATCGAATTGGGAAACCCATTACTTTAAAATTAGTTTGGTTAATTCTGAAAATCTGTCTTTATTAAACCTGTCTAATCAGGTTTGATGGGGCATAAATATACAGTGCAGACAAATATACTGACATCATACCTAAAGTATATTTAATGAAATACATTTCTTTTACATACATTAAAAATGGAGTCATAGCTCCTCTGAAGGAAAAAGACAATTAAGTCAGGAATTTCAAGATATTCAAGAGATGAAGCCTGAGAACTCAAATTTTAAAGTCTGACAAAGAAAATGTATCTTTTATACAATTGGAAATTGATGTGTACTGTACTTATAAATGATGCATCACAAAATGTTTCATTATACCTTTAATGTTTCAAAATCCATTATTATCCCTCTGTCTCCCATCAAGTACAATCTTAGGAAGAAAAAATATTACATTATTTCATGAGTTAAAACTTTGTGTACAACCTACAGGCTAATGGGAAAACAGAGTATAGGAATAACCCTCTCAAATCAAGCCTTTACTTGTTAAAACCTGAAGGTCGCCCATTTTAACTTGGCAGCTAATTATATTTCCTGGAAAATGTATTTAGAGATCAAAACCAGAAATGATTCGAGTGGACAGTTAAAAAAATTAAAACACGAACAAGAGTCATATGAAAATAATATCTTACTGAAGATTATTAGACAATATAGAAAAGCAGAATTTTCTACCCCCGTTCAAAGTGTCCATGGAGTTCATTCAGCCAAGAGTCTACTCACTTCCGGTGGGTGTGGTCCATGCCACTGTTTGGTATTGCTTCCAACTTTGCATTTTTCTGCCCACAGATATTTCCATAGCTGTCGTATCCTGACACTAGTCTTGCTGCTGCACCTGTTGCTACTGAAAAGCCACAAATAAATCCCTAGAAAAAAAAGCAGAAAAAAACATACAAATAAACCATTTCAATAGCAACAGTCACTACTTGATACCATAATGAGCTTCTTTTGTCTGTTGAGGGGAACAAAGACCTATCTTTCCTTATTGCAAACACTATTCTACTGTTTTCCTTGGATTTCACATGAGCAGCACAAAGAAGTCCACAGGGAAACACTATTTACTACCATAACAAAACAAATCTCAAGCTTTTACATCATAAGATCGTCTTTGCATTTGTAATAATAATAGCAGCTTCTCTGTATGGAACATCTGCTCTGTGCCAGGCTCTGTACTAGGTGCTTACCAGACATCATCGTTAATCCTCATAATAAGGAAACTGAGGCCCAGAGAGGTTAAATAAGTTGCCCAAAGCCATAGAAGCTAGTAAAGATCAGAGCATAAAATCAAACCCAAATTGTTTCATTCTTCAGCGCTTTTTGATTGTAAAAGAGTTCTGTTAAATGAACAACAGCAACCCATGAAAGAAAGAAATTCAAAGAACAATAGGTATGTGGGTTTTGAATTATTATAACTTCGGTGCACACAACACTTCTGTTTCCTTCCTGCAGTAAAGCTGTATACAAGCAAAAAAATTACACCATGAAACACTACTCTGCTTTTAATACTGCAGAGTCAAGGAGAGTGAGGCACTGGGTCTGTGTGCCACAAAGGTCACTTCATTTCATGGGAATACGCTTCATCACAGCGCCCAAGGCAAATAAATGGTAGATGCTTCGGAACTGCATCGTGCTTGCTAAATCAAGTATGCACTAAGAGCAGTAACAGCCTATATCCCACTGCGGGCTAGTAGGCATTACGAATCGGAAGTAAGGTGAATTATTACTGATCAACTGAATTGGGAGAAAAGGCTGGGGCTAGAAAATCTTGCAACATGGTCTTTAAAAGGTTGGTTTTGCAGTGCGGAGTTTCCTCAGGAAACTAACAATAGAACTCCCCTATGACCCAGCAATAGCATGCTAGGAATTTACCCAAGGGATACAGTATTGCTGATTCATAGGTGCACATGTACCCCAATGTTCATAGCAGCACTCTCCACAATAGCCAAAACATGGAAAGAGCCTAAGTGTCCATCAACTGATGAATGGATCAAGAAGATGTGGTTTATCTATACCATGGAATACTACATGGCAATGAGAAACAATGAAATCTGGTCATGTGTAGCAACATGGGTGGACCTTGAGGGTGTTATGCTTAGCGTAATAAATCAGGCAGAGAAGGACGGGTATCACATGTTTGCACGTATAAGAGGATTGGGAGGAACTTAGCTGAGGACCATGGGGGAGAAGAAGGGGGGAAATGGTGGGGGAAAGGGAGAAAGGCAAACCATGAGAGACTCTTGAATGCTGAGAATCAATCTTTGTATTTTTGGTTGTGGGGGGGAGGGGGGAGATGGGCATGGAGGAGGGCACTTGTGGGGATGAGCACTGGGTGTTATATGGAAACCAATTTAACAATAAACTATTTGTAAAAAAAAAAAAAAATAAGAAAGGTTGGTTTTGATTATCTTATGGGAGTGGCTAATGAAGGCAGAGATGATCACTGCTTAACTTATCATAGCCAAGTCTCATGAGTCGTACGTATATAAGCAGCTGTGCTAGGTCTCAGGTCTACGGTGCTAAGTACTGTGTTCACATGCAGATCCTACAAGAAAACTATTTCCTAAAAAGGAAAACAAATTATTTTTTTTCTGAATGACCCTTCTATTTTCATCCTGCACGTAAGGAAAGTGGGGGGGAGGGGGGGGGAGAGTAGAGAGTATGGTCTAAATACTAGAAACTGCTTGAAACTACAGTTTATAAGAAAGTCAACTCCTGAAGTGGAGACTATCCCAGATTTGCCACTCTCGTGCCTTCTGATCCTTGCCAGGTTACTTTAACTCTCTGCACCTCAATTTACTCACCTGTGAAATGGAGATGACTGTGTGGCTCATAAGATTGCTCTAAGGACTCAATGAAATAATCCTGTAAAATGGTAAGAATCCTGCTTGGCACATAGTAAGAGCTCAATAAATATTAGCTACTGTTGTTAGAAATGAGAACATGTAAAGGAAAAGACCATGGGCTCTGGGGGCAGATAAAGCTTCACTGAAAACTCCATTTTCTACTTGTGTGATTGGACAAACTTGCTTAATGCTCTGTGCTTCAGTTTTCCTGTCTATAAATTGAGGCTGAAACCACTTACCACAAAGGCTGCTGTAAGAATGACATGAAATAATGCATGTAAGTGCCCTGTTTCAATAAAAATGTTAGTACCTTCTGTCTGAAAGCTAACTGTTAGCACAGGGTTAGGCACAGGCTGGTCAGGACTCACTCATTCGCCCTCACCTTTTTGCCCACTCACTCTCCTGACTCCTCCAAGGAAAACACAAGACAATTAGTTCCATGTCAGAACTTCAAGCCAATACGAAAACATGAGAAAATAAAAAAAAATTAACCCCCTGCACACATACACATGTTCAAATCAGCATCCACCTTAAGCAGATCCTTGAACTTCAAATTAGGAAATCCTATACTGAACAGAAACTGGAAGTGCAGGTAAACATTACGAGGTTTAATGGCTAATTTTCCAATACGGTTCTTTGGCAAGAATCACTGAGTAACAGAAAGGGAACCCAGAAAGATCTGGATTTAAACCCTCACTCTACCATGTACTACCTATGTGACTCTGATCCAATTACCTACTTAGAGTATTTCCTCCTCATCTCTAACATAGAGTCCCATCATCTATTTCACAGCCCAGTGATGAGGAGTAAATAAGATAATGCACATCTAACCCCTAGCCGGTCTGGTACACAGCTCGTGACCAAGACGTGGTAGCCAGTAGTGGGAAATCTGAATGATGAAGCCAGACCAAAGAGGTTGACAACAGTAATTGGGGACTAACCAAAAACTCCTTCAGTTCTCTCCTTTTAGAACAAAAATTTCTAGGGGGAAAACGAGAAATACTGACAGTAACTCTGCCACTACACAGAAACATTTAGACCACAATTACAATCTCCTCCCATGACTAGTCTAAAATAGCAAGGCCCTTACATAATTAAAAGGTTATGTTCTTCTTTCACTTTTTATAGAAATTTTCTTATGTTTGATACATATTTTGTGTTACAGATTCCTTCAAATGGTTTCTGATTTCCCTTTCTGACTATTTCTAACAGTACTGTTGGACATGTAAGAGGTGTTTTTTGTTTTGTTTTGTTTTTTAATCATAAGCCACCTCACATCTCTCTGGGATGTAGGCAGAGTATAAATTATAAATGTTACATGTATATGGTAAAATGGGGACACTGACATATTTTCACACAGGCCATTTAAACTTCTTAGCTTCCAAAAGCATTAGAGAAGAGAGGTGAGACGCTTCAGGGGAGAAAGGGAGAAGAATAGTAAGCTAATAAGACAGGAAGAAACCATGACTATTACCCCAGGGACTTCCCATATGGTACAAGTACTGACAATGGGGAATTAGGCCAAATATAATTAAAAATACAATCTCTTTTAAAAAACAAAAAAATCTGAAATCCAAATGCAGGAAGCAATATAGTTTCAGATGAGAAAAAAATGTGGTACACGAAATTAAAATAGGATGAGAGAAACTTTACAGAATGCACTCAATAATTTAATGGCTCTAAGCGGGGAGAGAAAGAAGCTTCAAGAGAAGGAAATCATATTAATGAAGCAAATGATAAGGGGGATGAGGGAAGCTTTTATGCGCCTATAGAAGAGAGCAATCACTGCAGAATAAGTAAGCCTATTAGTAGGAAGAGAACCATGGCTAAAATCTTAAAAGGAGAGAGTTACTGAAGTGCTTTCAGAACAGCTATTTTGAGACAGAGAGAGGAGGAGCAGACAAATCTAATCACAAACAGAAGGTGACTCAAATCAGATAAAGGCATAGCGGTGGTGAATCTCCTGCAGTATCTGGCAAACTAGGAAGGACCTACTGCCTGAGTGGGAGAAAGACAATTGGCTAATTATTGAACTGTGCTCATTAGTTCAACTTAAGGAGGATTTGCTTAGTTTCATTCACGATTACTCAGAAAAAGGGACACATGTTATTTCACAAGCATGTTTGAATTTCAAACCTGGAGTCTTAACATGAAACTGAGTAAGGCAGAAAGCCTTAGTTTTTGGGTTTTGGAAGTAGAAAAAAAAAAGAGTCAACAAAAACACGTGTGGCGTGCAGGGATGAAATATGAATACAGTAAAATGCTTCAAAATAGAAAGATATGGGGGAAGATTTATGTTTATAGCTCTTGCCCAGGGATTAATGAAAGTATATCCAGAATCTTTTTTTCCCCTCAAATACTACCTCCTTTACCTAATCCTATACCTCTATCCCTAAACTTAATGAAAGCTTGGAATCAATCTCCTAAGAACTAATTTGTCAAACCTTGAAGTATTTGGCCTCTGTTCCTCCTATTCTGAGAACCCTGAAACAAGGAAGGCTTTTAGGACCTAGCAGACAAGACGGGATAAGAATGCCTGATGCAGGGGCACCTGGGTGGCTCAGTCAGTTAAGTACCTGATCTTGATTTCGGCTCAGGTCATGACTGCATGGTTCGTAGAATTGAGCCCTGAGTTGGGTTCCATGTTAACACCATGGAGCCTGCTTGGGATTCTCTCTCTCCTCTCTCTGTGCCTCCCCTGCTCACGTGTGCACTCTCTAAACAAACAAACAAACAAGCAAACTTAAAAAATGCCTGATGAAGAACTAATATTTATGCAAACTAAAAAAAATAAAATTAAAACACTTTGCCTATCTTCCAGATTTCTGGATTTCTTCAAAGTTTAATGGGATGTAATACTCTAAGAAAGAAGTAAGAAGCAATAAGCAAGAATGTTTGGAAGTCTAGATAATGTACACCCAATAAGTATTTATTGAGCATATACAAATGCAAGATGCCATCCAGGGTATGCAAAGGTTATAATACATCAAGTTTACCATAAAAGAACTGAAATAGGGGCACCT